GTGTGTGTGTGTGTGTGTGTGTGTGTGTGTGTGTGTGTGTGTGTGTGTGTGTTGTGTGTGTGTGTGTTGTGTCGTGAGTGTGTCGCGTGGGTACCGACTCTCTCGTGGGCCTTAGCTGGGCGTACCTGGTTGTGGACGTTGCCTTCGCCCTTGTTTTCTTCGCCCATCGCGGCAAAGTACTGCAGCAGGAACTTGGTCGTCTCCGTCTGTTCGGCGCACCGTACAGTACGGCATCTCGGGGTCAGTAAAGTGGTCCTGTGGGGAGTGGGCCGGGCCTGGCTGGTTGGTGTGGAACGAGTACCTTGCCGGCGCCGGATTCGCCGGACACGAGGATCGACTGCGAGCACCGCTCGGTGAGCATCGAGCGGAAGGCATCCTCGGCAATCGCATACACATGCGGCGACAGCTTGCCTGCAGGCCACCGCGCGTTCATGTCAACACACACACACACACACCACACACACGACACACGACACACACGACACACACGACACACGAACCGAGAGGCTGGCCGCAGTATTGGGAGATCATTTGTTTGCTGTATAGCGGCAGCCGCTGGTAGGGATTGACGGCGATGAGGATCGGCCCGGTGTAGGTGTAGATCTGGCTGATCATGTAGCGGACGTGGAGGTTGTGGAGGATGGCGGCCTCGTGCATGTAGCTGAGCTTGGTGAGGTCGTCCACGCCCTCGAGAATGGCCGGGTTGCGCAGCCAGATGCTGTCGGCCGCGAGCACCTCCTCCTTGTCGTCCTCATCCGCGCGGACCAGAAAGCTCTGCTGTGCTGCCCGCCCTTGCTGGCGCCGCCGCCGCCCTGCTGCTCTTCCACGACCACTCCGGTCTGGAAGCCCTCAGTCGCGTGCGGCACCCACACTTGCACTCCCTGTCATCGTGACACGACACGCAACACAAAAAAAAGACGCACACACGCACGACACACGACACAAGACGACACAGTGGTTGAGGCAGTGACGAAAAGGGGAGAGAAAGAACGAAAAGCGACAGGAAGAGCGAAAGAAAGAACGAAAGCGACAAGAGAGGGGAGGGCGAACCGGTCCAAGGGAGGTCTGGTCCTCGTCGTCGTCATCGCCAAGTCCACCACAGGTGCTTCTGCGGCTGCTTGCTCGGGTGTCGACTCCATCTTGTGATGTGGTGTGGCTCTACACTCGATCTATGGATTTACAATAAATAAAAATAATTGAAGAAAAATACTCAATATTCGTTTGATTCCTTGGCTGCGTAGTCCGTGAGGAGCGATGATGCCAACGTTCTTCGCTTTGGTCTTGGCCTCTTTCGTTGCTTCGTGTGCCAATGAAAAGATGAAAGTGCAAGCTCAGGCCCCGAGGAGATAGAGCACCAGGAAAAGAAAAAAGAAAATGGACTTTAATTGGTGCTTCGCAGCCACACGCAAACAGTCGCAAGGCCCTCAACAAGAGCTTTACGCAAAGAAGACGAACGTGTAGAGAGCCAGGGCACCTTTGCGAATACGGCATTCGCAAACTCAACGGCACCATCACTTTCAGAGTTTAATCTGGCGTAAACTGGAGGACACACTCACGCCACCGCACGCGCACCGCCGCAACACTCAACGTCGTACCTGCGCCACACAATACGCGCACGCACCAGCCAGCCAACCTTCTTTCTCCTGCGAAGTCCGCGTGCGCGACCGTGAAAATATTTATTTTACAGTTCCATCTGCCGCAGCCCACATGCAGTCGTTGGTAAAGGGGGCTGCTGGTGATATCACGTGCAGGTCCACAGGTTCTTCCTTGCTTGCGATTTGTGTTTTATCACAATTGCATTGGCAGAAGTAATCTCGGGTAGTGCTGATTTCATTAATTAATCTATTGGGATTGGTACGGCAGGGTGAGTTCGGTGCTCAATCGAGACACGAAGCTGTTCGGGAAGCAGCACATGCTCGATGGTTCCGACGAAACCTGCTGGAACTCGCACCAGGTACATCCTCGTGCTGCCTCCGCCCTTCTCTGGTGGCTTTTTGGCGCCCCTGTCTGCCGGGTGCTGCAAGACCTCACCACTGCACATACGTAGGGCTCGCCGCAGTGGGTCGTTGTTGTGTTCCCCGAGGCGGTGGACGTGGCCGAAGTCAGGATCATGTTTCAGGGCGGATTTGTAGGACAGGTCTGCCTCCTGCGTGGTGTGCGTGCGTGGTGTGCGTGCGTGCGTGCGTGGTTCGTCCACTACTCAGGTGCGTGAGTGTGCTGACACCGTTCCTTCTTCATATGCACTGCAGGAGTGTAAATTCTTGGTTTCGCCTGAGGAGAAGTCGAAGGAGTTCGCCTTCCTCGCCAACTTCTATCCCGAGGACGTCAATTCTACACAGATATCCTTCCAACCTTCCCTCATTCGCTCTTCATCATTCATCTTCTTCTTTTTCGTCGTTTGTTCACCGTTTAGCTTCGCTTATGTTATTGCCTTGACTCCCTCCACGTGTTCAAGTGCGAGGCCAAGCGAGTGCGCCAGCTCAAGCTGCTGTTCGACAAGAGTACCGACTTCTACGGGCGCGTCACCATCTACCAACTCGATGTCCTGGGCCAGCCCTCCCCCGCCGAATAAACCACCACGTGCTGCTACCAGCCGCGCCCTCCTTTGGCCCGTCCTCGTGTTTCGTTTACGTTTGCGTTTCATCTTGCGTTTCGTGTTTAGTTTAGGTTTCTGGTGCTTGGCATGGCTGAGAAAAGGTAAGTGCGCCCCTTCTTTGGAGAGAACTCAGCTCAGACATTTTTGGAACAGTTTCGAGAGACGAAAAGGAGAACGAGACGTTGTGTCCTCCGTCTAGAGCGTAAGTGGAACCGCTCAACAAGAACACTTCGTCTCCTCCTGAAATTCATGAGCCAGTTGAACTAGTGTTGACGACATGCAGACCGACCAAAGCCTGCTCACTCCGGTATCGAGACCTCCCTATCTTCATCTTCAGCTCCTCTTCTTTTCTTTTTCTATTTTTCTCTGTTTTTCTCTTCCTTTCTACAATTTGATGTGGCTTGGTGTGGTGCAGGGCGTTCAAGTATGGGTGCCTCACCCGACTGAAGGATTCCGGGCGGCGGAGGTCGTCGAACCCGTACCCAAGAAGGGATTCAAAGTTCGCATTGACGAGGACGAAAAGCCGGTGCGTGGCATGTGTGTGCGCTTTGTGTTCCATTCCAACTGTGCCACAGCCTCACGACACGCATGCAACACGGCGCATGTGTCCACATATTGTTGAATGCTAACGCCCAGTAATTAAATAATAATAATAACAACAATAACAATAGGTCGAGGAGATTCATCCACACACCGACATATGGCTGCGCAACCCGGCCATTCTCGAGGGCGTGGACGACCTCACCAAGCTCAGCTACATGCACGAGGCCGCCATCCTCCACAACCTCCACATGCGTTACATGACCATGCAAGTTTACACCTACACTGGTACAGCGTGAGCACCACACGACACCACGCGACACGCGACACGCGACACGCGACACGCGACACGCGACACGCGACACGCGACACGCGACACGCACCTTGATACTTACCGCCATTCCCTGTGCAGGCCCCATTTTGATTGCTGTGAACCCCTATCAGCGGCTGCCCATCTACAGCAAGCAGATGATCTCCCAATACTGCGGCCAGCCTCTCGGTTCGTGCGCGTCTCTCTCTCTATACTCTGTGGTGTGTGTGTGGTGTAGTGTAGTGCGTGCGTGCGGTGTTAAAGGCGTGCTGCGCTCTGAGAGCTACGGTGCCTAACGGCTCTATGGTCCGCAGGCAAGCGATCCCCGCACGTGTACGCGATTGCCGAGGATGCCTTCCGTGCGATGCTCACCGAGCGGCGCGCGCAATCGATCCTCGTGTCCGGCGAATCCGGCGCCGGCAAGGTACTTACTAACTACCACCACCTCGACATGAGTTGATCGACTTCACCTCATGCCGTACTGTACGGTGCGCTGAACAGACGGAAACGGCCAAGTTCCTGCTGCAGTACTTTGCCGCGATGGGCGAAGAAAACAAGGGTGAAGGCAACGTCCACAACCAGGTACGCCCAGCTCACTGAGTTGCCCGCGCTGAGCTTGCGAATCTCTTCTTTTTCACTGATTGTATGCCACACGCGACGTGACGGATGATCAATCATCACAATCACAGGTTCTGGAGTCGACGCCGCTGCTGGAGGCGTTCGGTAACGCCAAGACGCTGCGTAACGACAACTCTTCGCGCTTCGGTAAGTTCATCGAGATCCAGTTCGATCGCAGCGGCAACATCGCCGGCGCCTCCATCCACACCTGTACGACACCAGCCTCTCTCTCTCTCTCTCTCCCCCCCCCCGCCTTTTCCGCCTCTCTTGTCGCCGAGCCGCGGCTGGTCTGACCCTGAGCCGGGCGTTAATTGTTGTCGACCCCATATACAGACCTGTTGGAGAAGTCGCGGATCGTGCGGCAGATGAACGGAGAGAGGAACTACCACATCTTCTACCAGCTCATCGCGGGTGCGACCGACGACGAGAAGGCGAAGTACCACTTGACCTCTGGTTGGCGCCCCCTCCCCCCTACACCGCACGCTCGGCTCACGCGCGCGTGTGCGACACACACTGACTCGCATGTGCAGTTGCGGACTACCGCTACGTCAGTCAGAGCGACTGTATGGAGATCGAAGGTGTGGCGGACGAGAAGGTGTTCGGGCACACGAAGAAGGCCCTCACCATCGCCGGCATCGGAGCCGACCTGCAGTCGGAGATGTGGAAACTCGTCTCCGCCATCCTCCACCTCGGCAATTGGAAGAAGGGTGCATAACCCTCACCTTGTGTGCGCGTGTGCGTGCGCACTCTTTGCCGATACGTGTGTCGTGTGTGTGCTGTGCGTGTGTGTGTGTGTCGTTTGCAGGAAATGACGGTCCTCTCCAAACGGCGTGTTCGCTGATGGAGTGCGACTTCGAGGGCATAAAGAGCTCGCTCACACAGCGGAAGGTCGTTGCCGTGCGCGAGGTCTACATTGTCGACCTGGACGACGAACAGTCCGAGGGCGCCAGGTACTTATCGCCTCACACATCGCCGCACACGCACACGCACACACGCACACACACACCACAATTCGGAATGTCGTCGCTGACTTGTGTTTGTTACAAAGGGACGCGCTTGCAATGCTGCTCTACTCGCGCCTCTTTGACTGGCTGGTCGTGGCGCTGAACGACAATCTGCAGCGGAACAAGAAGCCCGGCTCGTCGGATGACGTCTTCATCGGCGTGCTCGACATCTACGGCTTCGAATCGTTCGACGTCAACAGCTTCGAGCAATTCTGCATCAACTACGCCAACGAAAAGGTTCACTCTCTCTCTCTCTCACACACACACACACACACAATGAGGCACATCCCTTGCGTTTCTGAAATATTTGCCGCGTACAGTTGCAGCAGCAGTTCAATCAGCACATGTTCAAGGTGGAGCAGCAGGAGTACCTGAAGGAGAAGCTCGACTGGTCCTACATCAACTTTAACGACAACCAGGAGTGTCTGGACCTCATCGAGAAGAAGCCGCTCGGCATTCTGTCGCTGTTGGATGAGGAGTGCCGCTTCCCCAAGTCCTCACCCAAGAGCTTGGCTCTCAAGCTCAAGCAAAATCACGTCAAGAGCAAGTGCGTGTGCCCTGCGATCTCGTTTCGCACACGCACCACCGCACACGCACACGCACCACCGCACACACACCTCACACTCGCCGGAACTTGGTGAACAGGTACTTCAAGTCGGATCCGCGCCAGTCCGAGAACTCGTTCGTGATCCACCACTACGCCGGAAGCGTAGGCTACGATACCACCTTTTTCCTTGGTACTTGACATGATACAACTTTCTATTTTTCCCTATTTCTGTATATTTTTAAATACGTAACATACCAAGTTTATTGAGTATGCTAACTAACAACTACGCATTGCAGACAAGAACAAGGATTTCTTGATCGAGGACCAGGTCAAGGTGCTCCTCGACAGCAAGTCGTCGTTCGTGCGCGGCATCTTCGCGCCCAAGCCTCAGCCCGCCGCGGCCCCAGCAAAGGGCGGGCGGAGCGAGAGCTCGGCCGTCAAGTTTGTCTCCGTGGCCGCGCAGTTTAGGGTAGGCAGAGCCAGCCCTCTCGCACCACCTTCACAACTACGCCCTCAGATGCTGATCGAATGGTGTGTGCGTGTGCGGTGGTGCATGTGTTGCATGTGTTGCGTGTGTTGTGTGTGTGTGTGTGTGTCGAATTGCAGGATTCGCTGGCCGAGCTGATGAGCACCATCGAAAAGACGTCGCCGCACTACGTGCGCTGCATCAAACCCAATCCTCAGAAGAAGCAGGGTATCTTTGAGAAGCCCAAGGTACTCGAACAGCTGCGATGCGGCGGTGTGCTCGAATCGGTACGTACCATCCCCCCATGCTTTGTTTGTTGTGTCGTGTGCGGTCGCGCGTGCGTGCGTGTTGTGTCGCTCAACAGTGCACATGTGTCACAGGTGCGAGTGTGTATGGCGGGGTACCCGGGCAGGCACAGCTACGACCAGTTTTACAAGCGCTACCGCTTGCTCGTGCCCTCGGCTGGCTCCGGCGCCTCCGATGCGCAGACCGCGACCAAGGAGCTCGTGGCCGCACTCAAGCTCGGCGAAGGCCAGTTTCAGTTCGGTCTCACCAAGCTCTTCCTCAAGGGCGGAGAGGTGACTCGTCCACACTCACCACTACCACCTATGCCCCCTGCCTCACCCCAAATGCTGCGTGTCGCGTGTGTGCCGTGCGTGTCGTGTGTCGTGTGCGTAGATCGCTATTCTGGAGAGGAAGAGGGGCGAGAAGCTGAGTGATGCGGCGGTGATGATGCAGAAGACTTGGCGCCGCTTCAAGGCCAAGCAGCACCTGCGCCGCCTCAAGGACAGCCTCATCCGCATGCAGTCATGTACATCCCGCACGCAATGGCACGACACGACACGACACAGCACACACCACAAGGCACTGATCACGAATGTGTGGATCAGTCGTACGGATGGTGTTGGCCAAGAAGCTGCTCGTCGTGCTGCGGCGACAGAGGGCGGCCACCAACATCCAGAAGACTCTGCGGGCGTGGCGCGCCCGCACGCGATTCGCCAAGCAGAAGAAGGCTCTCATCTACGTCCAGCGCGTTTTCAAAGCCAAGCGAGAAAAGAGGTACCCATTATAATTCTTATTAATTGTACAATTATTTTATCGTAATTACTATTACTATTTTAAAAAAATTGTATATTGTATTAATTCTATTTTCTGCGTGTGCAGAATACTGCGTGCGTTGCGGAGGGAGAAGGCGGCCACGGCCATCCAGGCCGCCATTCGGGGCAAGCTGCAGAGGAAGCGCTACCAGAAGGCCTACCGTCAGGTCGCCATCGTTCAGGGCCTCTGGCGGGTGAAGAAGGCCAAGGCCCTGCTGGAGAAGCTCAAGCGGAAGGCCCAGGCGCTGTCCAAGGTCGTCGCAGCCAAGGCCGCGCTCGAGAAGAAAGTCGACGTACGTCCACCGCTCCCTCACTACTATGGACCACCACCTTCACACGCTGATAGTGCCACGCGTTGCGATGCATCAGGAAATGGAGCTGCGCTACGCGGTGGAGAGCAAGATGAAGAAGAAGGTGGAGAAGGAGAACGCGCGCATCAAGGCGGAGGTGGAGGAGCTCAAGAAGACCATCAAGGACATGAAGATCCTCGAGGAGAAGCGGTACGTTCATCTCGCCACAGCAACACACACACGCACACGCACACGCACGCACGCACGCACACCGACTTATTAGACGGAACACAGAGAAAAGGAAAAAGAAGAAGCCGCTGCGCGGAGAGAGAAGGAGGGCCACAACAAGGCCCGCGGACACGAGAGGGAACTCGAAGAGCTCAAGGCGAAGCTGCGCGAGGAATCCGAAGCGCGCGCTGCGTTGGCTGCGGAGCTCGACCAGGCCCGGTCGACGCTCGACCACACCAGCGCCCGCGCGGACGAGGCCGAGCGCCAGCGCGACGTCGCGCAGGCCGAGGTCGCGCAGCTGCGCGAGCGTCTCGCAGTGATCGAGAGCGGCGACGCCGAGAAGGATCGTACCATCGCCGAGCTCCAGCGCGACGCCGAGAAGCTCCGCATCCGCGCGCCCAAGAAGAAGATGGACGGCGAGAAGATGGAGCGCCTGCAGGACCGCAAGAGCGACTACGCTTCGATGAAATCGCTGCGCGAGGGCCACCTGTCGACATCGTCGACGGCGCTGGTCGACCTCGGCGGCGGCCGCACCCGCTCGCGCGCGTCGTCGACCGACGAGGCGGCGGCTGCCGGCGGCGGCGACCAGGCCGAGGCCGAGCGCGAGCGCAAGCTGCGACTGGGGCGGTCGCCGTCGGCTCGCGACATCAGGCCGCGCGATCGGCAGCGGGCCAAGGAGAAGGAGCAGGACAAGCAGCGGCTCGAGCGCGAGCGAGAAAAGAAAAAGAAGGAAAAGTCATCGACGACGGGTTCGCCGGCCTCGTCGCCCTCGGGCTCGCCGTTGGTGGCCCGCGGCGGCGGCAGCGGGCCGGAGAAGCCAGCCCAGACCTCTCCCAAGGTGGCCAAGCTCGTCCTGCCCGCCAGGACCGACATCGACGCCCATGTCGACGTCGACAGCGAAAGCGACGATGACATCGCCACTGTCGACAAGGAGAAGAAGAGCGTCGCGGCCGCCGAGACCTCGACACCAGCGGCTGCGGCTGCGGCTGCGACGACCGTGGCATCATTACCGACGCCCGCGACTGCAGCCAAGACGGTCGATGTCGCGCGACCCACAGCGCCCGAGCGGGCAGAGAGCGACTACGTCGACTCGCGCAACCTGTCGGACAAGGACAGGGAGCGACGCGAGGTGGAGCGCGGCATCATCGACCGCCTCAAGAACAAGTACGAGGGCAAGCACTCGTTGGTGGGACTGGACAACGAGGCCATCATGACCCTCCTCCCCGATGCGCGCGACGTGACCTCGCGCAACTTCATCCGCTTCCTCCTGTCGGAGCTCGAGCCGGGCTTCGTGTCCGGCGTCCCCGTGCCCGCGTTCGTCATCTACTCCTTCCTCTGCTTCTGGAACCTCCTTGCTCCTCAGGTAACGCACACGATACACACGACATCGCACACGCACGACACACACGACACACACGACATCGCACACGCACGCGGCACGACGTGTCTCACGCGGTAAACACAACAGACGAGCCCGCGAAAGGCAGAAGGGGAGGCGGACGACACGCTGGGCTTTATCCTTGAAGGCATCTACGACGGAGCCAAGGCCACCTTCCGCGAAAACGAGATGATCATGTGCGTGCCTTGCACGTGTCTGGTGTGCAGTGTGCGATGCGTGCTGACGTTGATGATGATGATGTTTGACAGCTATTGGCTGTCGGTGGCAAGCTCGCTGTGCCACCTGGTCGACCAGCGGTTGGTCCGCGGCGGCAGCGCTGACGCGAGCGACTCGAGCGCGACCGCCGGTGCAGGCGCAGGCGTCGCTGCTGCGCTGCCCGACGAGCTGTTCGTAATGGACAGCCTGGAGGACGTTGTCGACGACGAGTCGAGCCTCAGCTTCACCAACAAGCAGCGGGCCGAGATTCGCGCCGGGTCGTTCACGGCCCACCAGTTCAAGCAGCACCTGCGCGAGCTCGTGAAGCGGCTCTACACGATCCTCCTCAAGCGCGTCCACGAGAGCCTCGAACAGACGCTCAACGAGACCGTGTTGGGCAAGGACTGGACCTCCCCTTCGCCTTTCCGCTCCGGCCCACAGCAAAGGTAACGTCGTGTGTCGCGTGTGTCGCGTGTGTCGTGTGTGTCGTGTGTGTGTCGCGTGTGCCGTGTATTGGTGTCGTGTCATGTGTGCCGCATTTCTCATCAGTTTGGTCGTGCGTGGCTACAGGGTTGCGGTCAAGAACACGTCGAGCGATTCGATCACGGCTCTGTTGTCCCAGTACCTGCTGGGCCTCGTCCAGAACTTCATCTACCTCTCCCTCGTGCAGAAATTCTTCAGCCAGGTAATTTCTTGAAATAATATAATTATAATAAATATAATAAATAAAATATCCACTGGTTGGTACGCACTGACTCGTGTGTCGTGCGCCCAGGTCCTGTGGTTCATCAACTCGATCCTGTTCAACGAGGTGTTGCTCTGCACCCAGTTCTGCTCGACCACCAAGGCCATGGACCTCAAGGTCCACATGGGCAACATCGACCGATGGATCCAAGAAGAGGGCGGCCTGTGGCTCGAGGTATTGATACCCCGCTAACCCTCGCCTGTCGTGTCGTGTGTCGTGTGTGCCGCGTGTGTGTCGTGTGCCGCATGTGTGTCATGTGTGCCGCGTGTGCCGCGTGCTTGCGTGCGCTGACAGCCTTCCTATGTCTTCGACAGAACTCGCAAGGCCAGCTGGCGCACCTGGACCAGTTGATAACGCTGCTGATGATTAACAAGAAGCACATCGTCTCGTCCGACCAAATGCGCAAGGAGGTCATCCCCAAGCTCAACATCCTGCAGATCAAGCAGGTGCTCGCCATGTACACCCCCACCGGTACGCACACCAGCTTCATTCCATGCATTCATGTGTGCCGGTCGTGTGCGTGTGCGATGCTTGCGCGTGTGTCGTGCGTGTCGTGTGTCGTGTGTGTCGTGTGCGGTGGTTTTAACTACCCTCTCTGCAGATCTGGAGGAGCGTATCTCGCTCCCGGACATACAGAAGCTGGACAGGGCCGCCCGCGCCAGCAGTGGCGGCGGCGACGACGACGCGCTGCTGCTCGAGAGCACCAAGCTGCTCCCGCTCGCGGCCAAGGAGCTGCACTACCTCGAGCTCGACGACGCCAACAGCATCCCGTTCCCGTTCGAGATCAAGCAGAAGATCCACGACATCGTCGAGCAGGACATCCTCAAGCGGATGACCGTCGCCACCAAGGTCCAGCAGGTGCGCGAGAAGAAGGGCCGCTTCAGCATGCTCCTCTACACCAGCCGCGGCAGTAAGAAGAGCGACGCCCTCTCGACCGGCGCCGGCGACGAGTCGACAACGTCATCACCTTCGTCGTCATCGTCACCTTCACCATCACCGACGACGCCTCGCGCGGCCGCGTCGGCGCTGGGTGCGGGCTCGCCGAGCTCGCCCCGCGGCGGTAGCGGGCTGTCGTTCCTGCAGAGGCTCACCGAAGGGTCGGGCATGCTGCCACAGCGCCGGAGCAGCAGCCCAGTCGCCCACACCCCGCGGGAGCTGCGCCTCGCACAGGCGCAGTCGCAGCAGCAGCCCAGCTCGCCCGCGACATCGACTGCGGCGCCGGCGGCCGAGGACGACGGGCGGAAGGCGGTGGGTCTGGGCATCAGGCGGCCTATGCGGGGCCGAGTCGGCGGCGAGGAGGATGGCGAGGAGGAGAGGGAGCGCAGGCGGCGAGAGCAGGAGGAGATCGAGCGGCTCCAGCGCGAGATCGAGCGAAAGGAGCGCGAAGACAAGGAAGCGAAAGCGAAAGCGGAGAGCGAAAAAGAGAAAGAGAAAGCGAAAGCGAAGGCGCACAATGCCGACCTGGGCGGCGAAGAGATTGTCAGGAGCGCTGTCGACACCACCCGCGTCGGCAGCGGCGGCGGCGGTGGCGGCGGTGATGATGATGATAGCACGAGCGACAGTGACAGCGATGGCGACGAGATCGTGTTCGACGAGGAGGACGACAGGAACGAGTCGGCGAGGCGGACCAAGGCGGCCCTCGACGCCGTCATGCACAGGCAGGGCAGGACCGGCAGCTTTTGGTCCTCCTTCTTCAAGTGAGCAGCCAAATGCTCTGTTGTTCTCTCTGATCACGTGCCGACACATGCAACAACGCCATTGGGAGACCAGCCACAGATATCTTGGGTTGTGAAGGGAGATGTCTTTTATCACTTTTTCTTGTCGACAATAACGGCGAGTTAGTGCCTCTGTGCCGGTATTGGCACTGTTGGCTCCGCAACAGCAGCGAAGAGAGAAGTCGGGCTTCACGGTCGTACTGTGGTACGGCTGCCCAACACAGGCCTGGGGTTTGAGTTGGTTCTTTCTTCTTTTGATCCCTCACCAACCACCATTTACACATTTTTTGAACGCATCTTGCAGTTTTTGTTCAAAAATCAAGAGAGATGGAGCTTCCGGTGTTCGACATGGCCCCCTTCCTCACTGCTGGCGCCTCCAGCGATGAAGTGCAGACCCTCTGCCGCCAGGTACCCCTCGAAATCACCTCAAAAACGCTTCCATGGAGTTGGTTACGGGGCTAATCATTCCCCATCGCAATCAAGATGGCCGAATGCATGCACGAGTCGGGCGTCCTCATCGTCAAGGACCCTCGCGTATCGATGCAGGACAATGAGACCTTCCTCTCCATGCTCGAACGCTACTTCGAGCAGCCCGCCGAGATCAAGAAGCAAGGTACCCTGTTCATCGCTTAAAAGATTGCCATAATAATAAAATCATAAATAATAAATAAATTGTGATTCCAGTACTGGAATCTGGGTTGAGCCATTTCATTATTTGTATTATTCTGTGGTACGGGTAAAATAAATTATTATTTATATATTCTGTTAGTTATTCAAGATATTAATTTTTGCTTGTGGCAGACGAGAGGCCGGAGATCTACTACCAGGTCGGCGCCACGCCCGAGTTCATCGAGAACGCGCGCTGCGGCAAGGAGCCCGAGTGCCTCAACCGCATCGACGAGGTATGTGCTGCGGTCGTGTGTGTCGTGTGTGTCCGTGTGTGTCCGTGTGTGTCGTGTGTGTCGTGTGTGTCGTGTCGTGTCGTGTCGTGTCGTGTCGTGTCGTGTCGTGTCATGTCGTGTGTGTGTGGTGTGTCGCGTGTCAGTTGCTTGGTTGGCTGACGCTCTTGAACGCGCGGCAGATGCCCGAGGAGGACAGGCCGCACAAGCCCCTGTGCCCCGACGCCAAGGAGCGCTTCTTCTGGCGCATGGGCGAGCGCCCCGAGAAGACCGAGTTCGCCTCCCTCAACGCCGAGGTGCGCACCACCCTCACCACACGACACGACACACGCATCAACGCACGACACGACACGACACACACTCATCCAACACGACACGCACGTACACGCACAGCCCGTGGTGCCGGCCAACTTCCCCGAGTGGTCGACCGTGATGAACCAGTGGGGCTCGAAGCTGCTCACGGCCGTGTCGACCGTGGCCGAGATGCTCGCGCTCGGCCTCGAGCTCGACCAGCACGCCTTCACCCAGCTCATGCACTGCGCGCCGCACCTGCTCGCCCCGACCGGCACCAACCTGGCCAAGCACGGCGCCAAGGACACCATCTACGCCGGCTTCCACTACGACCTCAGCTTCCTCACCATCCACGGCAAGTCGCGGTTCCCCGGCCTCTACATCTGGCTCAGGACCGGCAGGAAGATGCTGGTACGCGCGCGCGTGCTGTGTGTGCGCACACGTGTGTTGTGTTGACTCTCGTGTGTCGTGTCGTGTGTTGTGTCTGGTAGGTGCGAGTGCCGGATGGGTGCCTGTTGGTGCAGGGCGGCAAGCAGCTGGAGATTCTCACGGGTGGCCACGTCGAGGCCGGCTACCACGAGGTCGTGTGCGCCCCCGAGACCCTGACCGCCATCGAGAAGGCCCGCGAGAGCGGCAGGTACGAACCCCTCGACCGCGTGCCGTGCGTGTCGTGTCGTGTCGTGCGGTGCTGATGAAGGTACGTACTGTGGGCCAGGTCGCTGTACCGCATCTCGTCGACGCTGTTCTCGCACATCGCGTCGGACAACGTGATGCAGCCGCTGGGCAAGTACGGCGAGAGCGAGGCCGTGCGCGCCAAGTACCCGCCCATCAAGGCCGGCCACCAGGTGCAGGCCGAGCTCAACGCCATCAAGCTCGCCGCCGTCAAGCAGGACGCCTGAACCGACCATCACGATAGCGCTAAAGAAAATGAAGACAAGTTCCCCCTTATTAAGGGTCCAGTATACTCTGTAATTCCCTAAATATCGAGCACCGTGGGGCCGTCCCGACGGATCACTATTTGAAGAATGTGTGCCGCACACAGCAAAAGTCGTGCAATGTGGGGAATGTTGTCAGGGCTAAATGAAACAGTTCATGGAATCTGTCGTGCTTGTGTAGCCTTGGCCGAGGCAAGAGCATAACAGAGAGAAGCTGGAGGCACATGGCAGAACTAGAGAGACTAAAGAACTTCCAGCTTGTTGACGCACAAGAACATGAACAAGAATGTAAGAGATGGTATGAAGAGAAGCGGAAGGCCAAACGCCAACAACGGCAAGAAGAAGCAGACCACGCAGCACATGAAGCTGAAGTCCTGAGAGAGAAAGAAGTGCAGAGGAAGGCTGAGGAGGAGAAGGAACAAGAGGTAGGGAGGAGGCGTCAAGAAAGGGAACAGCAAGAAACAAAGGAGAAGAAGTGAAAAAGGAGATGGGTGGCTCTTTGGCGAGGAAAGCGCAGCCATAGTTCTTCTCCCCCTGGTCACATATGGACTCAAGCGCAGGCACAGGTAGAGCCAACCTTCAACTGGGCCATGGTGGAACTCAACCAGTTTGTTGATCTCATCTCCCTCCTGGTCTGCCCTTACTGCCACAAGATGGCGACGCTCAGCTGCCAAGACTGGTGAGAGGTAGGTGGTGGCTTCAGCACCTCCATCCACTGCAGCAAGTGCTCCTGTGACTTCTTCTTTTGGTTTTCAAGTACCTCCCCTCTCCTGTCCAACTACCACTGCTGAGATGCACTGTCCAAGTTTGTTGTGGCGTGGGGGATGCATGGACTTGGCTTTGATTGAATGGAGTCCGTCTGGGCACTTGCAGGTGGTGTGCCCCCCATCAGCAAAACAGTGTATGCCAAGATGATGAAGTATGATCCACTTCTTGAAGATTGGCTTTACCCATGCTCAAGTCCATGCATGAATGTGGGGGGGAGTACAGCTGACAACATGATGGTTGTGGTCTTCCAACAGCTTGGGCCTGCATTGACAGCATTGACAGATGTCTCTTGCTTGGAGCAGCTGCGCCTCTTCCAGCTGTGTAAGTGTGGAGATGTTGCAATTGACACATGTTACTCATCAAGGCACTGGCATGCCAATGAGATCACAACAGTAGTGTGAGATGCCCAAGCAGGTACCTTACCTTGTGTTTTGCTTGTGTGCACATGGCTCACAATGCTCTGCTTTCAGCTGGTCAAGAAGGTGGGATTCTGGTCCAACAGCACCTGCTCAAGGATACTGCATCAGGTGCACCTCAGCACCCTCTTCAGACTTACAAGGGAACTTCTCACACTGCAGAAGGTGATGCCTCAGATCAGGCCCTCCAGCAGCTGAAGGTTTGTGTTCTCTTTGCCTTGTTGTAACTTTCCTTGCTCATCACTTTCTCCCCTGCTAGGAACATGGGGCTGTTGTTACATCTGTGACTTCCAATGGTGACCTGGCCCTCCAGTCATTGGTGAGGCAACAGTTTGGTGAGAAAGCCACTATCTATCAGGACCCAAACCACTATGTCAAGGGGCTGGGCAAAAACTTCACTCAACTGGGCAAGGAGCACAAGCCCTTGCAAGATCTGGCCTCAAGACTCAAATCCCACTTTCTTGTTGGCATGTCTCCTCTCTTGCAAGCACAGCTTCGACCTTCCTTCTCACATTCCCTTTCACTCAGGTATCAAGAAACATGTGCAAGATGAAGTTGGCTTCAGTCACCACATGTGGTCCTTTGTCCTTCACATCACCAACAAAGCACACAAAACCTGCAGTCACACACCCCGACCTCCCAATCCCATGCCTCTCCTCAGCCATGTCAACAACCCCACAGCTGTTGTTGCACTGGAGGAATTCATCAAGGGCTATCTCAATGACCAGCACCAGTATCTTCATGGCCATAACACCATCCAAATCAAGTCCCTCAATGGCACTGCTGCCAAGAGGGTGAGCAAGGAGCAAAACTGGACCATGATGTATGCCCCCCTCTTTGATGCTGGAATCCTTGAATGCAATGATGGTGTGCCTCACCTCTCCTCTTTGCTCTGGTCTGTGGATAAGGAGTGTACTCAAATGAACACTCTATTCTCTGTTCAGGAAGCAAGTCCCTGATTGATGTGTATCGCCACCTAGGCTTTACCATTACCAGTGAACAAAGAGCATGATGGTTATGGGTAGTGCAAGCTTGCCAGCAGTGTGATAGCTTCAAGAATACCCCTCAATACAAACTGTGGCACAAGCAGCTGAAGCGCAATGCTCTCAATGAAACTGGTATGTCTCCATTAAAGCACATGCCCCCTTCGTGGCTTACAACTCATTGTATGCAGTGCGGCGTTGAAGCATACCAAAAGCACAAGGTCATGTACAAGAAGCCTGTTGTCAGTGTTGGATGGGTGGAGTGCAAGATATGCACTCATGCTGTGGGATCATGTGCGTTGCCTCCTTTTCCTTGCTTATTGTCTCACTACTCACACACAACTACACATGACCACACACACCACATGTCTAGTGACCTGTGACCAACTCAAGCTCTACCTCAAACACCACAAGATCAAGATCAAGCCCAGCAAGCATGCAGACTTGTTGAAGCAGGCCAAAGATCATGTGCTTGGGTGAGCTGACATGGTACACAGCTTCCTTCTGAGAGTGGGCCAGTTTTCAGAATCACCATTTTCACCTTGCTTCTCTTCAGGAGGTTGTTGAGGAGAGACAGGGAACAAAGAGACCAAGGGACCATGACAAGCCACCCAAGCGCTGGACAAGATCAAAGGGCAAGGAAAAAGCTGATCAAGATGATATCCTCAGCCAGGCGCTTGATTCCCTACCGTTGTCATTGTCAGCGTCATCATCACTGTCATCGTCATCTTCATCATCGTCTTCATCATCTTCATCATTGCCAGCATCATTGTCATTGTCATTGTCATCACTGTCATCTCACCTGTCACTGCCTACCTGAGTGCACTGCACCTTCAATAACTGCGCCAAATCCTACACAACTCCAGGCAGCCTCAGGCGACACATCAAACTCATCCATCCCTCTCTTCCCCTTCCACCACTTCCTATTTCTTCGCCTGCCACAACCGAATTAGCACCCGCTTCCACTGCCCCGTCATCCTCGACCCCATCTACAGCCCCACCATCATCCTCAGCTGCCCAGGCGTCCACTTTCTCTTCCGAGCAGCCCTCCTCTTCACCTGCTCTGCCCTCGGGGCCTCCTTATAAGCTCACCTTCGACGAGCTCATCACCCACTACGCCTCCCTCATCCTCCCCACGCCGGAGAGCCTTGCCGCCGAGGACCTTGCCCACAAGTTGCTGGCCGAGGAGAACTCCCTCCGTCGTGCGCTTCTGCAACCAGGCCTGCCGCCGGAGAGGAAGCAACAGATAAAGGCCCGCCTGCGCGAGCTCGCCCAACTCCTGCGTGGGGTGACGCGCCTGTTGTAGATTTTATTTTATTTTATAAGTTTTCCTGCTCCATACTTCACATTTCTTATCGATAGTGTGTGCGGCACACATTCTTCAAATCGTGATCCGTCGGGATGGCCCCACGGTGCTCGATATTCAGGGAATTACAGAGTATACTGGACCCTTAAAAACGATCTGTGTGTTTGTGACGAAGCTGGTGGTGGAAGCGGTGAAGCGAGAAGAAGAGCCCTTGGTGTTAGTGCTAGCAATGCACGAGGTGCTTCAGCTGGAGCTCATGCAGCACACCATGGGCCTGGCCCGCCAGCGCATAAGTCTTAACGTTGGGGGCGGACCCACCAACGGTTGCCTTGTGGGCGGTGACCCCCAAGGACATACAAGGTAAGTGATGACAAGGCAAGGCAGGCAACTTCCGCACCAGGCTGAAAAACGAAAAACGACAGTGTTGCGCCAGCCTTTGATAAAATAAAATAAATAATTCTATTGTACTCAGCAATGGAGGAGCCGCGGCTGAAGAGGGGGACAAAGCATGCACCACACCATTGTCGTGCATGCAGACGACCTGTGAAGGAATGCAACCAAGACCGTTGCGCAGAAAAGAAGAAAAGGCGCTTTGAAGCAGGTACAATGTTTTGTTTCTGTGTTGGGTTCTTTCTTGTAGATGAATGACCGCCCTTAGGAGCTGCATTGGGAGCAGCATCGGGAGCGCCGGCGTCGGCGTTGGGAGCGCCAGCATCAGGAGCGCCAGCATCAGGAGCGCCGGCATCGGGAGCACCAGCATCGGGAGCGCCAGCATCGGGAGCGCCGGCGTCAGCGTTGGGAGCGCCAGCGTCAGGAGCGTCGGCATCGGGAGCGCTGGCGTCGGCGGCAGGAGCGCCGGCATCAGGAGCGCCGGCATCGGGAGCGCCAGCGTCGGGAGCGCCGGTGTTGGCGTCAGGAGCGTCGGGAGCGCCGGCATCGGGAGCGCCGGCATCAGGAGCGCCAGCGTTGGGAGCGCCGGCGTCGGCGTCAGGAGCGCCAGCGTCAGGAGCGCCGGCATCGGGAGCGGCAGAAGCAGCAGCACGGCGAAAGGAGAAGCAACTGCTGGCAGACAAGGCGTGGCGAGAGATGAACAGATGGTCAGCAGAGGAGCACCAACTGCCACGCCAACACGAAGAGAGGGCAGGGCACCCGAAAAACATCCCAGAAGCTGCTTGCTCTCACCTCCAGCTCTTCCTCTTGTTCCTTGGCAACTTCTTCAAGGAGAGCACCATCCCACAATCCCAAGAGCGAGCAGAAGAGCAAGAAGAGAAACAGAGGAGAGCACATGAGCAAACTTCACCCAACACAGACAGCCATCATCCCTCTATCACCTTCTCCTTCTCCTCACTGCTCTGCTTCCTTTCCATCTCTCTCATCATGGGCTTCTCCTCCCAGCCAGCAGAAACCAACTATTGGCAGCGGGGAGATGACGTGTGGGGAAGTGGCTACATACAATGAGTGATGAGCTGGGAGACATACCATGAGCTGAAGAAGTGCCTCCACATTGATGTTGATGTGCTCATCAACCACCTCAACCACAAGTTCTCGCAGTACTGGGAGCCCTCCTCCAACATCACAGCTGACAAATCACTTGTCCCAACCAAGGCCCAGTGCCTGTGGAGCGTCATCATCAAGCACAAGCCTCACCCTAAGGGGGTGAAGCTGTGGTCAATCATCAACAAGTCCAAGTTCCTCTACACCATCTCTCTCTTCAAGAAGGTCACCAAGAAGACTGTCACAACCATCCTTCACATGGTGGGGTACCTTCCTCAAGGTCAGCCCTTCACCGTCTGTGCTGACTCATACTTCAGGTCGGTGGAAGCCGCAGAGGGCCTTGCAGAGCTCAGCCACTCCTTCACGCTCAGCTGCTGGAAAGATCGTCCCTCTGCCTTGTTTGGCCGCTTTCTACACAGCCAACCCATCAGCTCCACTTCCTGCACCACTCTCTACCACAGCAACCCCACGCTCCCCTCCCACACAATGGCAGCCATCACCTTTCAGCATCAAAAGAGCGAGGGTGAGAAAGTTGTCAACTTCCTCAGCAATCTTCACGCTGGGAAAGTCGTCAGCAGCAGAAAGAAGGGCAACAGCATACCAGATATCGCACACGACTACAATCTCCACATGGGCTACGTCGACCAGCTCAATTCGGCCTGCCAGCAGTTCGCATACCCACACAAGTTAATCAACTGGAAGCACGCCCTCTTCTTCTGGCTCCTCGAGGCCACCATCAGCAACACCTGCCTCATCTTCAATCACATCCATCACATGAATGAGGACTTCCGTACCTTCCGACGCAACCTCGCCGATGAGCTGCGAAAGGAAGGACTGCGGCTACCTCTCCTCCAGCACGGCGTCGCACCTATTCCGAATCGAGGGAAGAGAAAGTGTTTCATCTGCCGAAAGCAGGGGAGGAACTCGAGCACCACGTGCTACTGCCCAGCATGCAAGCATCCTCTCCACGCCAAGTGCTACCCTGTCCTGCACGAGCGTGTGCTTGCCTCTCAAGGGAGGAAGCGCAAACGACCCGAGGAGACCCCGAGAGAGTCCGACTCTGACGTGCCTGACCTCGACCTCGACCTTGACCTTGACACCATGCTCGATCTGCGCCAGTTAGAAGAGCTCACTCTCAACGATCCAGAGGAGAGACTGCGTACCGATGACGATGCTGCCGAAATCAAGGAACTGAGCGAGATGGAAGTGAGTGATGACTACGACTGGTTAAAAAAGGAATGGATGGAGACCTGAGGGCGAGTCGAGCGAGGTCATGGCGCGGGCGAGCCGAGGTGGGCGAGGGCAAGGCGGGAGTGAGCCGAGCGAGGTCACGGCGCGGGCGAGCCGAGATGTGGGCGAGTCGAGCGAGGTCAAGGCGCGGGCGAGCCGAGCGAGGGCAAGGCGCGGGCGAGCCGAGAGCGAGCCGAGGTGTGCGAGGGCAAGGCGCGGGCGAGCCGAGAGCGAGCCGAGGTGTGGGCGAGTCGAGTGAGCTGAGCTGTGCGAGGGCAAGGCGCGGGCGAGCTGAGCGAGGGCAAGGCGCGGGCGAGCCGGACGAGAACACGGCGCGGGCGAGCTGAGGTGGGCGAGGGCAAGGCGGGAGCGAGCCGAGGTGTGGGCGAGGGCAAGGCGAGGGCGAGCTGAGCGAGGCCAAGGTGCGGAGGGTGTGCACCGGTTCGTGGGGAAGATGAGCACTGCGGTGCAGCTCAGTGGAGCGGACCACCATCATCGAGCAGCTCCTCTCCTGACCCACCGAACTCACCGCCAAACTCAAGGCCCACTCCTGCCACATCTCTCTACGGTTTGCGCCCCCACTCGCCCACCCCGTTCTCTCGCCCTATCTCACCACACACACACTCACATGTGCGCGCGCGCACACACAACACACCTTGAGAAGGCTGACACGCATGGCGCATCTCTGGTCATTGGGCTTGGATCTGGTGCCTCCACTTCGACCCCGCCATCAGGTACACTTGCCTCCTCGCCCCCCCCCTAATCTTGTGTGCATGTGTGGTTGTGTGTGTGCGTGTGCGTGTGTGTGGTGCGTGGCTGGTGTGTGTTCTTCTTCTCTTCGCTCACTGCTTTCTCTTTGGGTGCACCGTGGACAACAGAGAAGACGCTGCTGAAGGAGGGCACGGGGCCAAGTCACCAAAACAACCGTGTCCCAAACTCTTTTCGACAGAGTCAAATCTTGGCGAACCTTCGCCACCATCTCTAAACAACAGCTAGACATAAAATTCATTCGAAGGGCTTTTCGTTGGTGTTGAGTCCTCAACAGAGATTTGGCGTGCGCGGTGAGTGAAGGCGGCCATCTCGCTTCGTCGCCTGCAGGTCGTCGAAGGCGAACGCCGGCTACCAGATACTCTCAAGTGCGCGCGAGACCCATGCACCCACAACCCACAATCAATCGTGTGTTGTTTGTGTGTGTCATGGTGTCACGTGCATCGTGTCGTGCGTGTCGTGCGTGTTGTGTGTCGTGGGTGTTGTCTTCTTATTTTACCTTCTTCAGGGGGCCGATCCCGGGCAGTGCCGGGTGAACGGCCATGGCCCCGTGAGCGAGGTTGGTGTTGACACGACCGACAGGCTGGGTTGGGTGGCTCGCTGGACCGGCATTCCCGTCTGGACCGCTGCTGATGATGACGAGCCAGCAGCGGCCAACAGTGCGGAAGCGGGCCACCACCACAACCCGCCAACCTGGCGATGACGGCGTGGAGGTCAAGGCTGAGCCGCTGGGCCACAATGACAGCGACGCCAACGCGGAAGAAGCTGCGGACCACTAAGAAGTGAATGCCTATTCGCGGTCGGTGAATACTTGCTTCCACTTTATTCGGCGGTCCCTGACCATTAGCACCATTGCTACAATAATGCCAGGAGCCAATAGGAATTTATAGTTAGGAATTCCCGAAAATAAAAAGTTGCCCGCAGCTTTTCTTTTTATCACCATTACACGCAAGAGCGACAACATGAGCAACCATCACAAAATCATAGTGGTCACTGGTACGAGCAAACCTCACACTTGCAGTTCTGGCCAACCGCTCATTCATTGTTGAAATAACACAAAATGGAACTTGTCTGGTGCAGGAGCGTCTGGCTTCATCGGCGGCCACATCGTGCGGCTCCTTCTGGACCGCGGCTACCGCGTGCGCGGTGTGGTGCGCGACCTAAGCCACACCAACGCCGCCAAGCTGGCCTTCCTTCGCGGCCTCCCGCGCACCAACACACCCGACGGACACGACCCGCTCGAACTCGTCGCAGCCGACCTGCAGGCCGGCCAGTACGCCCAGCTTCTCCAAGGTTCACTACCTCTCCTCCCACATGTTCCGATTATACTACCATATAACATGTTCAGCATGTTGATGTTATTGGTTGTCTACAACAAAAAAAACTGACTGTGTTGCAAACATGTAGGCGCTCATGCTCTGATCCACACGGCCACGCCTTTCGTCTACGCGGCGGCCGACCCGCAGAAGGAGATCGTCGATCCGGCGGTCAACGGCACAGTCGACGCCATCCAGGGCGCGCTGGCCGCCGGCGTGCGCCGCGTCGTGGTCACGTCGAGCGGTGGCTCCGTGTTCAGCTTCCCACCGCCCAGCCCGGGCTATGTCTACACCGAGAAGGACTGGAACACGTGGTCGACGCTCACCAACAACCCCTACTTCCTGTCCAAGCGGCTGGCCGAGCAGGCGGCGTGGCGGCTGTGGGACCAGCACAGGGACCGGCTCGACCTGGTGGTGGTCAACCCGAGCTTCGTCGTGGGTCCGCCCCAGTCGGCCAGCCTCAACGCAAGCCTGGAGACCGTGGTGAACTATCTCCTGGGCCGAGCGAAGAAAGCCACGCCCGGTCGGCTGCCGTTCGTGGATGTGCGCGACGTGGCGTTGGCACACGTCATCGCCATGGAACAAGATGCTGCCATCGGCCACAGGTGTGTGACAATCTCTTCGCTTCAGTCGCAACTGTTGTGGTTTTACTCACCACCAGAGCGTGATTGATGTTGTTCAGAGTGTTTTGCGCGAGTGAGACGAGGCCGTGGAGGGACCTTGCGATCAAGCTGAAGGAGCTCTTCCCAGAGTATCCTAACGTGGAGGACTTGGATGTGGACACTGGCATCGAGACCCAGATGGACACCTCTCTCCTTCAGGTGCGCGCCTTTAAGTCTAAAGCGAAAGCGAGAGTGAGCTCAGCTCAAGCCGAAGACTGACATGGCCTTTCTTTTCAAATGGTTGCTGCAGGGTCTGGGCCTGTCCGAGTTCATTTCTTTCGACGAAATGTTGAAGGACACGGTGGAGCAGATGATCAAGTTGGGTGTGGTGGAGAATTTGAAGCAAACAAATGAATGATTGATGGGTTGATGGATGGGTTTGTTTATGATCATAAATTGTTTGGGCCATTGTGTGCTCTTTTCAGAAGATGAACCGCTTCTGGCCGCCGCTGATCTCGTCCACTTCGGCGTCAAACACCGAATCCTCCGTTTCCGTCGCACCTGACACCCGGTGCCGCACGAGCCCGCCGTGGCTCAAGGCCTCGCCGTCGCCTTCCAACACCGGCGACGATCGCTCTTCGCCCTCGTCTTCCGCCTCTCGGTTCGTGAGGTCCGTAGCCCGGTCGTCGACCATCGACACCTCCTCTTCCACCTCCATTGCGTCGCCCTTCTTCTCTTCCCCCACCTGCTCGCCTTCTTCTCCTTCTTCTCCTTCATCGCTTCTCTCTTTTTCTTCGTTCTTTGCTTCGTGTTCGCTTTCTCCGTCGTCTTCGTTTTCGTCGTGGAGTGGTTCGGCGGTCGCGGGCGGGCGCGGCGACGACGGGTTCGAGACCCGGTCCGGGAGCGGTAGGCCGTCTACGACGCTCAACAGCACCAGCGGTCCCGTCTCCCCGTTGCCCTCCTCCTCCTCCTCCGCCTTCACCTCCGGCTCCTGCTCCATCTCCTCCTTCGCTTCGTCGTCCTGGTCTTCCTCTTGCTCGATGGGCGCCTGCTCGCCCGCATCGTCGCCGCCTTGCTCGTCGTCGTCACTGCTGTTGCGTTCTTCCTTGACAGGAACCGGCGCTTCACCGTCGCCTGCTTCCTCCTCCTCCTCTTTGTCTTCGTCTCCTTCTTCATCGTCGAGCTTGTTCTCCACCTCGATGCGGCCCACTTCGTTCTTGTTCTCGCCTTCGCCGTCGCCGTCGCCGTCGCCGTCGCCATCCTCTTCTTCATCATCGTCGCTCGCCATGATCCTTCGCACCTTCCGCTCTGGTCTCCGCCGCCCTTCGCCTACCGCCTCCGCCTCCTCTTCCTCCTCCATACTGTCATCGTCGTCGCCGTCGTGTGGCTCGTGTTGGGTGATGTCCAGCGAGACGTCCAACAGCGGACGCTTCTTCGTGGGCTCCTCTTCCTTCTCCTCCTCTTCGTTCTCTTCCTTTTCCTCTTCGCCTTCGTCCCGCTTGATGTCGGCGATGCTCACCTCTTCTGGCTCTTCGGCTGCCTGCGGCACCTCCAACGTTGCGTCGTCGCGTTGTTCCTCTTCGCGGTCGTTCGCTTGTCGGCTCTCGTCGCCATCGTCGTTGTCGAGAAGGAATGAGTCGTCGCCTCCTCGCCTCACCACGCGCCACTCATCGCCTTCGCCTTCTTCTTCGCCTTCTTCGCCTTCTTTCTCCTCTGCCTTTAGGCTGTCTTCCGTCGCCTTCATTTCTTCTTCCTCCTTCGCTTCTTCTTCTTCATTCTTTTCCACTTCTTCCTCTTCTTCATTCTTTTCTTCCACTTCTTCTCTCCCCTTCTCTTCATTCTTTTCTTCTTCTTCTTCGTCTTTTTCTCTTTCGCCTTCGCTGTCGGACAGCACCACGACGGCGACCACTTGTCGCTTTCGCTCTTCGTCTTCGCTCTTTTTCATCTTTTCCGCCTCCGCTTCTTCCTCTTCTCGCTGCTGCGCGAGCTCCATGGCCCGCTGTCGCTCGCGCTTCTCGGCCTGCTGTTGCTGCCACCGGGCGCGCTTGAGCCGCAGCAGCCGCGCGTCCCGGTCCTCCTCGAAGTCGCGGTCCACCGCCTCGCCCTCCTCCTCCGCCCCCTCCCTCCTCGCTTCGTTTTCGCTTTCGCTCTTACTTTCGTTTTCGCTCTCTCCTTCGCTTCGCCACCCGCGCTTCCGCTTTCTGGTGGCCGCCGCCGGCGTGCGCTCCTCTGCCACGCTCGACTCCACCGCCTCCCACGCCCTCGCCCTCTCCCTAACTTCCACTTCTTCTTCCTCTTCCTCCGCTTCTGACTTCTTCTTCTCTTCTGGTGGCTCTTCGACGTCCATACTCACCGACGTCTCCGCCTCCTTCTCTTCTTCGTTCTCTTCTTCTTCTCTCTTTTCCTCGTCTTCGTTCTCCTTCATTTCTTCTTCCTCCCCCTTCTCTTCTTCTTCCTCTTCGCTCTTTGCCACGTGCGGCACCTCGAGTTCGGATCTCAACACCTCTTCGTCGGCCCGGTCGATCGACATCGCCCCATCCACCGATTCGTCGTGGTCGTCAATGTGGATCACCACCGGTTCGGCTTCGTGTTCTTCCTCCTCTTTCTCTTCGCTTCTTTCTTCTTCCGCCTTCGCTTTCGCGGCCGCCTCGGCTTCGATCCGCGCCTTCTCCCGAGCCTTGGCCTCGGCCTTCTCACGTCGCTTTCGCTCTTTCTTCTCTTTCTTCTCCTTCTTCTCTCTTTTCTTCTCTCGCTTTCGCTCCTTCTCCTCCTGTTGGTATCGCTCCTCCTCGCGCTCGCGCTCCGATCGCTCCCTCTCGCGCCGCTCCTCCGCCGCCGCGCCGCCGCTCGCCTCGCGCTCGCGCTTCCGCCGTTCGACTCCGCCTCGCGCTCGCTCTCTCCTCCTC